AAAAATCAATTTAATTTAAGAAGTTGCAGAACTGCAAAATAGAAAATAATCATTTCCTGACTTGGGACAAAGTTAAACTGAATTAAAGTTACCTCCAACTTACAGTACTAACTTTCAATCTAGCAATGGCGCTTTTCTCGCCGGGGCTAAAGTATAACGAAGTCGCTTGTCTTATCTTCGACTTAATTAAGCCCATAACAAATGGCATAATATGATATTCTCTATAATCCACGACTTTTCAAACGAATATATTGAATTTAGCTGTCAACTGTGTATCTGATTATCGAACTATCCGACTGTTGTAGATGATCGATTATTCAGAAGCCGCGGCAGAATTTTCAACCTAATCGTAAAGTCTTAATCCTCTTGTACCAGCACCGTGACGAATCTTTCTGTGCCCGCGAATATGGACGGTTCAGGTCGCGTTAATCGACGATTTAGTGTGTTAATTGTTGATACGCGCCGATTAATGATCGCGCGCCGCGGTACACCGTTCCGATCCGCGGCGTTCGTGTGCTGTGTGTCGGTCACGTTTTTCGCTAATCTGCTTTCACGGTTGGCCAATTATGCGCCGCGTGAGACGCCTTTCTACATTCCGGCGTAATAACGAGGCTTACAGTGCCTGGTTCTATTGAGATTTTCCTGTTGCGTTTGTACGATCGTCGGGCGTTATGTAATTACCGGTTACTCGGGATATTTGTCCTGTCACGATCGAACGGCGACGATCATCGATGGATCGTAATTGCGGCTCCGGCCGTCGTCTTCAGCATTCGATGCGTTCTAAATGTGCAACTGCGTTCAGATCGTTCTACTACTGACTTCAATTATGTAACTTGGGTCCTCGTTCAATGGGCCGGTTGGCGGGAACTGTGGTTTCCACGACTCACCGAGCAGAAGTTGCAACTCGTGTGTTATTATTCTTTTTATCGAGGCAGGTAATGATAGAATTGAATGGTAATGACGAAATTAATATGTGATAGTTTCGATGAATTGCTCTGGGTAATTCATTTCCTTGGGGGATACGCTCGTGGAAATGACTGACGTATCATCGGACTGTAAGAAAGTAAGATCTATGTAATTTCTTCGGAATTCAAATACATTTGAAACATAATATGAAAGTGTTTGAAGAATATTATGATCTGCTCTAGACTTAGATCACACCTATGCTGAATCTGTTATTGATATTTTAATAATTTGTTCAACTGCCTTCTAGCATCATGCATTTGCTCCAATGTTCGCTTTAAAAATTATGAGAAGATCGTAGACGTATAATGTCTATGGACAGGATTCGATTTCCACAACAGTATAACTACGAAGATGAACTACTTCAATCTAGCGAATTGTCAATTTACAAAGAACACAGACCACTAAAGAATGCAAAACACTAACAAATGCATAGTGTGTACCAACGAGTAAAACCACTGTTTCACAAAGCAGGCCTCCTATCTAATATACAATATATCAAATATTTAACACCTGTCGCAACAATCTAAGCTCAAACTGGCAAAGATCCCCCGCTTTCACTCGACCACCGAAATCATTTTCCGCACTAGATACCACCAATACGATATCGATTCGATCCAAAGACCCGTTGCGCAGAAAATTCGACCACGAGGTTATCGTGTTTCCAGTATATTAATTAAACGTGATCGGGAACGGGCTATGCTAGTCTAACGCCCGGCTATGAATATGGAAATTACGGCGAAACAAGGTGTGCACGTTGCATACTTTCGCGGCTGTTCCTGTACAAGTGATTTTCTGTAACGAGGCCGCGATACGAGTCTCGATCGTAATATTCAAACTTTCGTAAGTGGATATGCGGGTAGCATCGCTTCTCGGGTCAGACTTTCGTCGAGATGCGGGCGAATTTCTGCCTATCGACGGTTTAGTTTCGCGGTGTCTGATATATTAGTCGAGAGGATCGACAGATTCGTCGCCCCCTCCCGAGGGGAACTGCGTTTCAAATCGAAATAATTTCGCTGATTAAAAGCGACAGAGCAAGGGAAAGAAAGAGAGAGAGAGAGGGGAGAGGCAGTAGAGCCTCTCCCCTGGCGATATTTCACGCACACCGTACACCCCAACCGATTCATAATCAGGCGGGCGAACGCAACGCGAATCGATTCGTTTCGACGGAGAGACGTTCAATATCCTAATTGAAACTTCGTCAGGCGTCTCTGTTGTACGTGTTTCAGCCTCCCACGTGTATTAATATTGATTATCGAGGCGGTCGTAACGTCGAATTGCTGGTAATGATTAGACGGGATCCTGAGAGTTTGCGTCAATTTCGAAGTGACGCTTTTATTGATCGTTTTTGTGCCTCGAGGATGCTCCAAAGATTTTGCACGTGCTGTGAAGGCTAGTATTGTAGATAGATTGAAGGACTCTACGTTCCATTGATGAAAGAGTACCGAACTACGTGGGCGTATACATGGGGTTCACAATGTCAGTGACTTTCGCTTTGAAGTTCGAATTAATTATAGAGTTGGAGAAAATAGTGAATGAGATTTAGGAGATTACGAACGTCAATGAAAAGGTTGGAAATTAATTGGAATTAATTGTGTTTGGTAGCATTAACGTTTTTGCAAGGTCTATCTTAAGAACTAGAGAAATTGTAAAGTAGAAATATTAAATATTTTGTGATTTTTACGACTGTATATTCTTGCTAGAACAATAAGTAAGATCTGATAATAGTATGGAGATATCGAGAGTGGGTGATAAAGATCGATTCTACAATGAGCATCTCGCAATAATGGCTGGGTTCGTTAACGACGTTCGTTAACCGTACGGCAAACATATTTCTACGATGTCCGCGACACGTCGTTAACGGGGCAAACAGCATAATGCCGCACGTGTCACGGTTGCGATCCGCGTACTCCATTCAGAGAGCAGAGAAAAGTGCTTCCGATGGCTTCAGACCCTAAGGGAGCCGGCCACGTGTCCCAGAACAGGACAAACAGAGAGTAGACGTGGCCTTCTCCCCTTTTAAATGGGAATCCCACGATGATGGATTCACTCGACCGTGAAACATGAAACATAGAAACTTTAATCGAGTGTATTTTGAGCACCAAAAATGGATCTGAATCCCCTGTCATTAAACTTTGTAGTTTGATGGAACTTTTTTTAATTTGATATAAACTGCATATGCTGAAGTGACCTTTACAAGAATTATATCATGAGAAAATGTAGCACAAGTTGTGCGCAGTTCACTTTTATTATAATAAATTGTCAAAAAGTGTGATGTCGTTAATTCGGTGACATTTTTCAGCCAGATAAATCTGCCGGACCATTTGTCCTGAAATATCCTCTACAAATATTAACCGACGTTCACTTTGAGCTTCACATGAATTCGCGTGCAATTTCGAACGGACAACAGAGCGAAATTCACCAGCGTGTGGGCACCGTCGATTTATGGATGGTTTTACGCCCTTATCGTTCGTCCCACCGGGATCGAAGAAATATACTCGATCGTTGCGATTACAGGGCGTAAATTTGTGTTACAATCTCGAACAGTTGCGCGATCCATCTATCTCGGATTTACGAGAGAGAGAGAGAGAACCCGTAACCCCGGCGTATTGTTCACCGTGGGATGCGCGATGCACTTTCGTCATGGACACTCACGCCGAGATCGTCCTTGTTACAGGACGTTACTGATCCATGTCCAACGGGATTTCACGCTTCCATGATCGCTGGTACATATTGCTCTCCTGGAAAGGGCTGCGCGCGCTCATCCGTGCGAGATATATTGAAAATTGAACGGTCGATTCTGTTCCCCCATTGTCGGTTGAATGAAAAAAAAAAATGTTGTATTTAGGATACATATCTGGAAATACAAGAACACCTTCAATTTCGATAGTACTCTATACGTAGACTGCATTAACATTGTAATTTTATAATAATATAAATGAAGAACTATACAGTAGAACACCGTTTATATAAACCTGTCGGGGAACAAGTTTGTTCATTTAACCAGGTTGTATATTATTATAGAAGTCTACCTACTTCTCCCTACCACCTATGATTTTTCCCTCAGCTCGAGAGTGCAGATAATTAGGCACTACTAAAATTTCATTCGTATAAGAAATGGCGATTATATAAACGGAGTTTAACTGTATTTTATGTAGAATTTACAGTTCGTTGGTCATGGTTGCATATATCAATTTTGACTCGTAAAATAGCGAAATTTCGGTTAACCATGATGGGATCTCACCATAGGTGAATGCACTCTTCGGATGAAGTAGGTCTTGTGTAAACAGTCCCTCGCGTCGCCCCCGTGCGCAAATAGACAATGTCCCCATAGCGGAGACCGCAGAGAGCCCCCGTCTGATCGGCGACGTTCCTTTTCCCCCATATGTCGATTTATGGTCCCGCCATTAGGGACGGTTCCGTGCTGCGCCGCGGGAGTTCCAGTTCGATTCGTAGACAACAGGATATCGTTTCCACCGAAGACGAACGGCCCTCTTATTGTTCTCTTTTGTTGTGACCCGGCCGGTGATATATTTCCGTGTGTTTACACACAATATCGTATTCATAGTAAATCCGAGCAAACATCGCCACGGGGAGAGGAGAATCTGTAGATTTATGATCGTCACGTGGATCACGCAACATTTTGTTACCTCTGTTTTATATGTTATATGGGAACAGTAATATACTCGGTACTAACCCGAACACGACCGGTGATTTCAATGCCAGCACAAGGGAGGAATCTTTCGATTTACACGATCGAACATATGTTGACAATATTCTACGCGATTATAGATGTAACTGGCCCGAAGTTGTTATCAAAAATACTCGTTCTTTCTGCGTTACATAAGATGACTGCAATGTTACATTACAAGATTGCAACGTAGTTTAAATATTGTCACAATCGGAACAGTAATCGACTAATGAAATTAGGATGTTCAAGGAATGCCACGAAACGAACTTGACCTTGAATTATCTTTTTTAATGTACCTATCGATGAACAATCGATTATCACTGGGTCATTTTTTTTCTCGTTACAGAGACATCTTGACAAAGGAAGCGACCTTGCCGAGGCGGCGAGCGCAAGCGGACTCCGCGAACTCGCCCGATCCTTGAAGCAACACCTCCGAGGATTCGGTTCCCGCCTGGAGGACAGGCGTGAGTATCTCGAGGATACGTCGAGATGTTGCCTGCTCCAAGACAGGGCGTACGAGTGGGCCCAGGAGGCTCGTCTCGCGGGCGACAGGAGGGCCCAGCAGTTCCTGATGGCCAGACCACCCCTGCCGGTCGAGCATTTCACGGAAATGATGGCGCTCGCCGAGAAGCTCGGTAACGAGATCCTCCTGGAACAATGCCGTATAGCGAGAACGAAGTGCGCGGAAGCCCTCGAGATGGCGAGGACGACTTCCGCACCGGGCAGTCCAGCCAGGAGAAGATCGTTCGCTGCATCGGAGTCCGCCACGTCCTGGGAGGATAGTCTGGCCAAAAGTACGTATATTACTTTTACAATAAGTATGCCAACGATTCACGAAATCTCGGATATTCTGAATCTATAACTGTAATTTTTCATTCACTGTTGCGAAGAATTTTGTCTTTTGAAGATACAGTGAAGTGCAGGGTGAAGGGTATCTTTTTTGAATATTTTTGAAATATCGAAATTAGTTTTCAGAAGTTCTTTAAAAATATCGAGACGTATCGGTTTTGAAATTTTCTTTTTACGAAATTATGTCAACGTATTTCGGTACTCACAATCAGTTCTACACGGTACAATATCATCCGATGTTAACTATATCGTTGTATTTACATAAACATGACAACATCGATGTTTCCCGTTCCAACAGATAACCTGTCGATCGTAATGCTCTTATTTGGTACTGTCCATTCTCCAGGTAACTTATCGTATGAACGAAGTCAATTGAGATCCATAGTCTTTTGCGCATTAATATCCAAAGCGCCGTAATAAACATGAAAGCACTTCGGTTACAGGATTTATTACAGTTGAAACGTTTTCACAGTATGCCTTATCACCTTTAGACACATATTTGTCCTGTTATATCGACTCGGGTATCATCCAACTATCCACCAGTCCCACGAGGATATAGCGTCTATAAAATACGAAATTTATCAGGAACCTCGTGGGATGACAGTGACAGCAGCGCGTCGTACGCTTGCCCCATGGAGAGCATAGGATCCGCGGGAAGCGGCGGTCGTCCGGTGCTGGACAACATCGCGGAGCTACGTGAGAGCGCGGAACAGCTCCTGGACTGCTCCCCGCCCCGGACGCCGCCCCGGAGCCCTGCTCCACGTCGTCTGGTGAAGCCACCGGTGAACTCGCACCTTCACAGAGCGGCCAGCATCGCCCCCGGCATGAAGGCGAAAAAGTGCGTGCATTATCTCTCAATGATTTCCCTTCGAGTCGAGTCGAGTCGCACGTTCCCCCCACATCTTTTCTTCTCATCTCCTTTGGCCCGCGGCAATTAACGATGGACGCGCCGCGTAATTACCGTTACCGGTCTGATTAATATTCTCATTAAAAGTTTCCAGCAGAAACACCAGCCACCAAAGTCCCCTTAGCGTTGTGTCGCGTACGCAACGTGGGAGATCCCGGGGGTTTTGCGCGCGTGTTACGTTTCTCGTATGATTTTTCCTTCCGTGTTTTTCGAGGCGTCTCTTAGACGTCGCACAATGCGCATAGTTTATCTATAATAATTCCCATTATGCGATTATGCGTGGTGTTGTTAAGTCGCGGTAATATAGTTAACGAGGATGTTCACCTTGCAGAACAATACTGCTTATAATGAGGGAAATGATACAGACCGAACGAGACTACGTGAAGTCCCTCGAGTACATAATAGAGGTAAGCTGTCCGTGGAATATGTGCGCCTGGGATCGCTCGATCTTGCCGGATGATTAATTCGGTGCGTTGTTTTTTCTCGTCGAAGAATTATATTCCGGAGCTGGTGCGGGAGGACATCCCTCAGGCCCTCCGTGGGCAGCGCAACGTGATCTTCGGGAACGTGGAGAAGATCTACGAGTTTCATAGTCAACACTTTCTGCGGGAACTGGAACAGTGCGAGCAGTCGCCGATGAACGTGGGACAATGCTTCCTCAGACACGTGAGTGTTCCTTTATTTGGTATTCGTTCATTCTTCAGGAATACTTTTTTTTTTGGATATCAGCTCGCAACTTCTTGTGGGTTTCACGTTGTAATGCTATTTTCTTCGTCGTTGTAATACCTTCTTGAATCGTTTGAATTTCTCCTCGGGGCCTTCTTTAACTTCCTTCTTTAACCACCTTCTTGCATTAAATCCTTCCTATGTATCGTTATTGGTTACATAAGACTTTCTACATGACGTAAAGGAACTTTGCTCTAAATTCTACTACATAGTACGATCCGTGTGCATGTGTTACAGGAGAAGAAATTTTATCTGTACGCGCTCTACAACAAGAACAAACCGAACTCGGATTCGCTGATGGCCGAGTACGGGACCGCGTTCTTCAAGCAGAAGCAGCTCGAGCTCGGGGACAAGATGGACCTGGCCAGTTACTTATTGAAGCCGGTGCAGCGAATGGGAAAGTACGCGTTGCTTTTGCAACAGCTGGTCAAGGCGGGCACAGACCTCTCGGAGCAAATATCCGGCAAAGATGAGAAGGAAGAGAAGGAGGACGGTCTGAAGCCGATGGTCGAGGGGGAGGCTGATTTGAGGGCGGCCGAGCAGATGGTACGCTTCCAACTGCGTCACGGGAACGACCTACTGGCGATGGATTCTCTTCGAGACTGCGACGTACGTATATCACAATTATATCACACGTTCGAGGGGTAAGACGATAAGCTACGTATAAGTCACGGGGTCGATAATGGGCTAACAAGTAATGCATTTTCTTTCCACCGTGGTCTTGTATTCGTACGGAAAATAAAGAGAAAAAAAAACGGGTGGAAATTATAGGTGAACGTGAAGGAGCAGGGCAGACTACTCCGACAAAACGAATTCTTGGTCTGGCAGGGTAAAGGCAAGAAATGCTTGCGACAGGTCTTCCTGTTCGAGGACCTTATCCTCTTCAGCAAGGCGAGAAGATTCCCCGATAGGAAGGTGAGAAAGAAGAACCGAGTTCACGGTTCTCGTATATGTCCGTGATTTCTCTTGTGGGCGAACGCGACCGATACCATTCTCTGCCTCTTTTGTTCCAGAACCTCGACATCTACATCTACAAGCACAGCATCAAAACGACGGACATCGGGCTGACCGCCGTGATCGCGGACTCGCCCACGAAGTTTGAGATTTGGTTCCGCAAGAGGAAACCGGGCGACACGTACACGTTGCAGTGCGCGAGCGAGGACATTAAGAAAGCCTGGACAGAGGAACTGAGCAACCTTTTATGGAAGCAGGCGCTGCGAAACAGAGGTATATATATATATATATATATAGGCGGGACTTTGTGCGTTTTGAAATGTCGCGAGTCTTCTTCGGGTCTTTGTGACCGGTGAGTTTAACGAGAATGCCTTTTGCGATCGCAGAAGTGCGCCTGGCGGAGATGTCGAGCATGGGCATCGGAAACAAACCTTGTTTGGACATTAGGCCTAGCGCGGATCAGATCAATGACCGTTCCATCAGTGTAGCTCAACTCTCGAAAAGTGAGTACGACGAAGTTGTTCAGGTTGCTGGATGGACGAACGGAGTTTGTATATTTAATTTCAACTTGTCCGTTGTCAGCAGCACCTAGATTTAGAAATTCGATAGCTGTGTCGATGTCCGAAGACTCGGGTCGCTGCAGCAGGAGGCCACACAGCGTAATCTCCGTGAGTTCATCGTCGAGCAGCGGTGGCAGTAGTGGTCCTCCGACGACACTGAACCTTGGTTTGGACACGAGTCCTCGACCCCATCATCGTAGCACCACGCTCAACAGCCAATGCAGCGTTGGTACGTAACGTGTCTGAGATTAAAACATCTTCAACGGATCGATCGTTGGATGAATTTCTTCCATATACATGTATATAATGTTGTACCGATTTCATTCCAGAAAGTGGAATAATAGCTGATATTTCAATCGTCTCGGACGATGGTGGTGACGGTACCGAGAGAAGTCACTGGAACTCGACCCTAGAGAGTCCCACGTCCCACCTGCCAACCACATCCACGCCTCTCCAATCACCAACCAGCGCGACCGCAGCGACAACAGTTACCTCGGCTTCTTCGTCCGACACTAATCTCGCACCCTACGACCAAGACATGTCCATTAATTTATAAATGCGCTGCCCCTGAAAAAGGCGGCACTAAACATAGAGCAGAATCTATATGTTCTCGATTCACTTGCAAAGTTGTCTCGTGGTGAATGCAGCGTGACTCAGCCTGAACGGCAATACGATGCCACGGTAACGTGTGGCCGTGTAGAAAATATTTAGAGCGCGTATTTTCTTGTGCAATCGTAGCTACAACGATACTACTCGGACGAAAGTATAACGCCGTTACGGAGAGACTGATAGACCGCTGCATTACGCTTACCGAGAAGTTCCATAAACGACCGTCCGGTTGCATACCTATTACGGACAGGAGACGTTCAACAGACCACGGGGCACAGGCATGCTATAGAGACAAACGTTCAGGGTAGCTCAACTTTCAAGTGAATTTATCTTTTGATACGCTTCACACACACACCACACACATACACACACACACACACACACACACACATATATGTGTTTCACTGATCTACATGATCGCATAGTTGTCACGTCTGAATTTTTATAAACCATTAATTTCCAGAAGTAACGACGGCAACGTGTATTTTCTTATACTATATCCCCTCCGAATCCACCAACGTGCTCAAGAGAATCATATATATATAGATGTGTATTGGCTGCATGTATTACAATGCGCTGCAATACCGTGAACGGCATGCACCGGTTACCATCTCCTTTTTCTCATTACCTCATTCCTGGATACTAACGACTGAGAATATTCTTCGATTCCCAATGACACGTCCGATGCTACTTTTATACTTTATTTATATATGTGTAGTTAATAAATCAATTGATATTCCGTCTCCACGTTGTGCCCGTGCTCACGGTGACACGAGGACGCGATTTTCGTTCAATGAAACACCTGAAGACATATCGGTTCCTGTTCTCTCTTCGGGTATTCCATTAGCTCTTCAAATCTTCGTCCGTCTCTGATGCATTTTCGATCATGAATCCACGCGTCTCTTCAGGAATGTCAAGCAAACTTATATTCTTTTTATGTCAGTCATTTGTGAAACCTTTTATCATCTGTAGGTGTATACCTAACTCTGGCCTGTACGCGAAAGCCAAATTGCTACCCCCCACTCAGTCTCTTCGTTTTTCTTTTCGTTCTCACGAATTATTTACGTTTTAAGAGAATTACGTTGTCATCGATACCAGTGTGGACGTTTTGGAAAAGCTTCGAAAACTATCGTTTGGCAAGCTTGACTTAAGACGCTCCGCACTCGCGCATTTCAATGCCAATTTCTTTCTTTCCGAGGCGCCTCAGCGTTTCGACTGTGCTGATTCAATTGTGGATTGTCGATTGATATAATCGGGACAAAATGGTATTAATATTCATGGACACATAAATGTATGTACATTACTCAATTGAAATTTTTAACAAACACCTCGCTATTCGTCTGTATCGATTCCGATCACAGTCACGCTCGGCGAGCTTAGCGCCCGAAGAAAGAGAATGGATGAACACACGTAGCAATCAGCAATTATCCTGTTACAATAATTCTGTATTGTTACATCGCTTTCAAGTCAGTCGATTAGCCATTGTTATTGCCAAGGTCTGCCAAGGTATCTCGACGATACCTTATATGGACAGTGACCAAAATCGTTTCTTTCGTATTCTGGGGTACGAGACAAGAATTTTAAGATATGTAGAAGATGTAGTTTGTAGCACGTAGTTCATTACAAAGAATTTTTTCCGGCGCAGTCTGATGCACCCGTTATGTATTATCAATCGTTTCTTTTCTAATATTTTTCTAACCAGTCGTAATTTAGTTGTATTATTACACCGTGCGATCATTTCAAGAATCGAAATTACAGGAAGCGTTGTTCGAGGATCGCCGGAAATCGCGTCGCGACAAAAATGGAAATGAACGCATGCAATAAAATCAATGCATGCGGACCGGGCATCCCCCGTTTTTTTTTTTTCGAGAGCGTGACCAAACAGCAAACGAAAGTAAAGCGATTTTTCTATTTTCCAATGGGATACCAGGCATGGTACAGTTTCTCGAATCGTGGGATGTCGAATTAATGACGATAATAACATCCGGTACCTTAAGATACACCGATAGTCACTTAAATGTTACACGCTCGTAGATATTTATTAATATTTTTTTAAGTAGATCATTTTAGTCTGTAGATTTAAGTATCCGCATCATTCTAACGAAATGTATATAAATACATATATATTTACATTGATAACATGATTATTTCAGTATTGTACTGTGTCTAACACCGATGTATTTTATTACTTGCTAAATATACTGTATTGGGTGCCTTTTGTAGCGAAGTTCAACCTTTAATTTTCTATCACATTATCCTCTTTCCGTGAAACATATATGTCGGAGGCAGGGCGAAGTCCTTCATCATCGGACCTGTCGGAGTTTGATCGGTGACGTTCTCCATCGGATCACCCCCTTAGCACTCAAACGATGCACAAAATTCTACGCAAACGCAACGCTCGATCTTGTAGCACAACACGAGACACGTCAACGAGCCCACGGGCTTGACAGAATGTTCGCGTACGTCTTTACGTTTTCTCTCTTCATACGCACACAAAAAACGACTTTTCTCGAAGCTGGTGTTCACTCTACCGTAGCCGAAACTATTCTGCCGTCCGTGATCACATGCAACAGGGTCCCAGCCCATTTTCTTCAAGGGACCCTATCTCGCATCTCTTTTTGCGCCGCGCGCGAAGAGGGGTAAGAAAGGTAAACGGGGACTGTTTTATTGCCCCTTCGCAGGGCAATTACTAAGGTACGTCCAAGCTTCGGACTCTAAACTATCCTATGGTCAACGCATAAACTAAATACCTAAATTGTTATTTTACAACTACACTTAATCCTACACAGACGTGTAATGCCAAAAGTTTACAAATATTTTGTAGAATAGACAAGCGTTACACGTCGTTGCCATCACGCCCCGACATGTATTTACTGTAAACAGAGAACGTGAAAGGTTTATTTACGTAGACCAATCCCACAGAAATTTTATTGCATTTAAATACATACAATGAAACCCGCGAGACATTTTTTCGAAATATCGATCGAACGCGCGAGAACTCGAACGATCGATATTTCCGGTATCGGTCGAGATGTCCGTTAGATACTGCACGCAAGTGCACGAAGTTTTACTAATTTATCCGAAGTCTTTGTTTATAATATTAAACGGTTCTTTTTGTAATTATTTCCCACAAGAAGTTTTGAGGTGTCGGGTTTCGTACATTTTCGCGGGTTGACATTTAGTATATCGTCTAATTGTGTAAGAAGCGTATAAAAATCAGTTTTGTTTTCGCGAGTGTGCCGTTATATCAATCCTACGAAGCACAAGCCATTTGCGCAATTAGGTAAGTACTTTTTTAGAAATATTTATCTAACACTATACGAATATTCTATGTGACATATTTAATAACCTACTATTATTCGTATCACATTCATTTGGTTAATATCAATCAAAACCACAGTACACACATATCACATAAAAATGTTGACAAGGGCATTCTTGATTTTGAAAATATTTGGTCCCAGCAGACTTTATCCAATTGTCTGCTGCTGATAACAACATATAATTGAAACATTTAACACATTACTCACTATAATAAATTAACAATTCATCTCTGATACAATATATAATTCTAATGTTGATAGTAACGTTGCCTGATTCTTAATTTTATTTACATTATTACAGAAAGCATTTCTTGATATCTGTCATTTGAATCTAAGCAATCTTGCAAACATTCTTCTTTTTAAGATTAATATCACATTTCTCCGTGCGTCACAATTCTTTCTTGGTTTCCTCTAAATTTTTAGACATGGATGTTGATTTTTGTACTGACATCAATTCTGTTGTACTGGTATCCATGTTACTCTTTGATTTCTGCATTTCCAATTCCTTTTTCTTTAAGAAAGATGCCCCAGTAAAACCTATACGTATCAAGCATATTGTAAATATTGTAGATATGAAATTATAATATATAAGGTAAACTATGACTCACCTAAAAGACCACAACCTATCGCAGCAAGTCCACCAACTTTTAATCCCGCTATTAAACCAACTGGTCCACCAACACAAGTTCCAATTACAGCTCCTGTTAATGGATACATACTAGCTTTGTACCTTGCAGCCTTTACAAGGAACTTTTCTCCCTGCTTCACATTTATGCTTGTTTCTTCTATATTATCCTCTACTTTATTCACCAACTCTTTCTGATCCTAGTTACAAAAATGCATATTATTCCCTTGCCATACAAAATGCAAATATATTGGATTATAAGTAAATTAAATAACTTACATTCACAACATTATTAAAGTCAACAAATAATTCATGTAACTGGTTTATGTCTCCCTGTAGATTGTTCCAAGCATGCAGACATGTCTGCTGATGTTGCAAATCCTGCTGATCCTTCTGCAACTGGATATAACTATCTTCAAGTGGATGGTCTTTATCCTGATTTTCATTTTTGGGTGACTGTGGTGGAGACATCGGTAAGTTTAATTGCAACTCTATAAACACATGCATTATTAGTATCAGATTTATACTGCATTCTAAAATCAACATTGGAACCAATATTAGTTACCCAGATATTCTTTAATAGCATTCATCATACTAGTACGAGCACTAGCAGTCAATTTATCAAACTGTTTGATATCTGAATCTAAAACTTGGGCTCTAAGAGTGTCCATTTGATATAATAATTCTTTCAGTTGCTTCACTATCCTTGAGACATTTATATGTTCTTTATGCATTCTCTCCCAATCACGTTGTGCTTGATACTACAAAGACAAAGAAATTGTGTAAGAACATTTGGTGGAAACAAAAAGCTTTATCAAAACACTTACCTTTTGAATGTTACTTTTGTGTCTCTTTAATAAATCAACGTGATGCGGTATAGCGACGTTGAAATTATTTATTTGGATCTCTAGACGCCTAATAGGCTGTTTCATTGAAATGTTTTCTGGCGAGGAGGACATGTTTATCGTCTTTATTGTTTTCTGCGAAGTAATGCCCACTCGGTATTTACATATGTTTTTCAATAACTTTTTAACCACAATTTCCTGGAAATATATCCATTGATAAAATGTCTTCGTCACACTTAATTTTGAAGATTTCTTCTAACCAAAATATTGAAACTTCATGGTGCAAGGTACATCGTAGACAAAGGCACGATTAATTTATTTTCGTAACTGTTTCGAAGTCGTAAAAATAACCAATCAGCTGATTATTTTGTACACATGTAAAGACATGTGTAATGGCACCGACTAGGTATAGGATAGACCTATCATCTTGCGGGACTTCGTGTCTCATGTTCTGAAATACCGATAGTGTAAAAAGTCAGGGATTTTCTGCTGCCCTCTACGGTATGAAAACGGTGAATTTGTGAACTACGTTAAATCCATTCGAGCTCAACTAGTCTAACTTCTACAGTGTTATCGAGTCTAAAGTACGCAATGTTAGATTATGAGTGTCGGTACGTCAGAAAATTACCGAAGGGACCATGGTCGTGAACGGATTCTCTTCCGTCCGTTCGCTGTAAAGTAGACGTATTAGAAAGGAGTCTCGGCTTCAAATCTCGACGGACCTTATTGGTTTTTTTTCGCGTACAAAAAAGTTATTGCGTTTAATATTGTTTTTATGAATATATATATGTATTATTATGTACATTTGAGTAAATTATTTTATTATTCCATTGTTATTACAACAGTTTAACAGT